GCACTCATGTGCACATACCCACAAACACACATGCACTCATGCACATAATGTTTTAAAAATTGAGGGGAATAAAGGGAACAAAAGTAACGAGCATAAATCTCGATGAACACCTGAGGGGTGGTCTGTACCTTGGCTGTTGAGAATAGAGCCACAGTAAGCACAGATGCGCATGCGTCTTTGTGGTATGTAGACATACAGTCCTTTGGGCATAAACCAAGAAGTGATGTAACCGAACCATATGGTAGCTCTATTTTTCATTTTTCCAGGAACTTTCACGTGGTTTTCAACACGACTGCGCCAGTTCACATTTCTTGTATTAACATACAAGGATTTTATCATTCCCCCATGTCTGTGCCAACATTTATTGTCATTGTTCCTTCTCCTCCTCCTCTGCCTCCTCCTCCTTGTTTTTTTGAGATAGGGTTTCTTTGTGTAACAGCTGTGGCTATCCTGGAATTCACTCTGTGCACCAGGCTGGCCTTGAACTCACAGATATCCTCTTGCCTCAGCCTCCCGAGTGCTGGGATTAATGGTTTGCACCACCACATTTGGCTGTTGTTTTCTTGATACAACCATTCTTGCTGGGGTGAGACAGAATCTCAGTGTAGTTTTAATTAATTTAAATTTCCCAGATTACTAAAGCTGTTGGATTTTTTTTTTAATGAGACAGGGTTTCTCTGTATTGTTTTGGAGGCTGTCGGTCCAGCCCGGCCTCGAACTCACAGCAATCCACCTGCCTCTGCCTCCCAAGTGCTGGGACTAAAGGTGTGTGCCACCACCGCCTGGCACAAGTGTTTGTTTTTAATACCAGTGTCAAAAGTTTATGTAGCTGTGTGTGGTGCTACCAGAACTGGCCTTGTTAGGGTAATTTTATCACAGTGCCGGGAGAAGTAGTTAAGGCAGTATTAGAATTTTGATGGAGTTTTTCTTAAATCTGTAGATAGATTCCTTACTGTAATATATTCCTTTCATAAAATCAGAACGTTTGCAATTATTACTCATTTCTGTTATTTTAACATTTATATGTTGTTTGTTTGGTGTGTGTGTGTGTGTGGGTCAGAAGAGAACTTCCAGGTGTTTATCTCATGAGATCTGTCTTTTCTTGTGTTCTCGTGCATGAGACTCTTTCTACCTCCTCTGTATGTAGTTTTCCTCTAAGTGTCTACTATACTGCTGGCTTAGTGAACATGAATTGTTTTTGTTTGAGCTTGTCCTGAAACGCCCTAATTTATCTGTCAATTTTACAAGACAGCTTTGTTGGGTGTAGCAATCTTGGTTGGCAGTCATTCACTTTCAGGGCTTGGAATAGAACCTTTCATGCTTCCCTGTCCTTTAGGTTGTTAATGAGAAATCTGCTGTTAGTCTGGTGAACTCATCTTTGTGGTGAGTATATATTTTTCTGTTACAGCTTTTTGTGTAGTTTGCTTTGTATTTGTAACAGCTGGGCTATAATGCATTGTGGAGAGGTTCTTTTTGTGTTTATGTGTGTATTCTTTTCCCTAGATTTTGGGTATTTTCAATTAAAATTTCATTGAATACATTCTCTATATCTTTGGCACGTATCTCAATACTTACTTTCAACCTGTGAATTCTCTTGTATTCCAGAATTCTTGGATGTTGTGGTCATGCACATTTTTCTCCTTTTTGATATTTGCATGTGTTTAGTATTTTCTTGACCTTCTCTTCCATTTCTAATATCTGCCCTTCTCTGTAGTCCACTGCAGCTTTCATTTGTAAGATTTCTATCTTTCCCCCTTGAATCTCAATTTTCTTACTAACATTCAATTTTCATACTAACATTGCTGATATTCTCTTTCATTTTGAATGTTGCTGACTTTTGCCTTCAGGAGCTAGGTTGAAGTCACTTGCTTGGTATATCATCCTTTGAGGTTCTTTTTTTTTTTTTTTTTTTTTTTTTTTGGTTTTTACGAGACAGGGTTTCTCTGTATTGTTTTGGAGGCTGTCGGTCCAGCCTGGCCTCGAACTCACAGAGATCTGCCTGCCTCTGCCTCCCGAGTGCTGGGATTAAAGGCGTGCGCCACCACCGCCTGGCATCTTTGAGGTTGTTGATCATTCCACTAATAAACTTTTGAAACTTTTAGCTGGTAATTTACCTAGTTTAGTATTTTTGTATTCAGTAGTTGAGGTGCTATTATCTTTTTGAAGAAATATACAACCTCACCTTTTTTATGGTTCTTGTGTTTCTGTGTGGTAATTTGCTCATCTTGGTTTGGTATCTTTCCATTTTTTAAAATTTATTTAAAGACAGAATCTCACAACGTTGCCTTGGCTGTCCTAAAGTTCTCTATGAAGATCAGGCTGGCCATGAACTCTCAAAGATCTACTTTCCCTAACTCCTGAGTGCTAGGATTAAAAGCATACCCCACCATGCCCTGTCTAAGCTTCTAATTTTTGTGTGTGTGTTGTTTTTTTTGTTTTTCCAGACAAGGTTTCTTTGTGTAACAGTCCTAGCTGTCCTGGAACTCACTTTGTACACCAGGCTTGCTTTTAACTTTTTAATGCTTTAAAAAAAAGGTTTATTTTATGTGTATGACTGTTTGCCTTCATGTATGTATATGTACTGTGGTAAATGAGGAGGCCAAAGAGGACATTAGATGCCCTGGAGCTGTGGTTGTAGATGGTTGTGAACAGAATTCTGGGAACAGAACTCAGGTTTTCTGTAGGAGTAGCAAGATCTTTTAACTGATAAACCACTTCTTTAGCCTCTTAGCTTTTAATTTCTATATACTGCGTTTGTGTGGTAGTGAGTGAGTACAGAGGCCAGGAAACTAGAAAGGACCCATGACAGAGGGAACAAAAGAGGCTGCAAGTGTGGGGGTAGGCAGTAGAACCTTGGGGGGTAGGTGGTAGAACTCTGGGCGGTAAGGTGGTGAAACATGGGGTAGGTGGTAGAAACATGGGGGTAGGTGGTAGAGGCATGGGGTAGGTGGTGAAACATGGGGTAGGTGGTAGAGGCATGGGGTAGGTGGTAGAACACATGTGATATGAATCTGAAGCAAGCAACATGGGTGGTGGTGGTGGGAAGGGTTAAGCAAGGACGAGGGGTGAGGTCGGGAAGAAGGGGTGTGGGGATGGAGTGTCAATCCAAACTAGGGCTATATGAAAAATCCGTAAGGAAACCTGTTACTTTTTAAACCAATTAAAAATAATATTACGTTTTGGGGAGGTGGCTTAGTGGGTAAAGCATCTGCCGTATGAGCGTGAGGACCCCAATTTGGATCCCCAACACCCATGTGAAAGCCGGGTGTGGTGGCATGCATCAATAATCCCAGCCACTGGCGTGGTCATGTGTGAGACTCCCTGGAGACCACTGACCAGACAGCCAGTAGAAGTGATAGGCTCCAGGTTCAGGGATCAACTCAGTCTCAGAAAATCAGCTAGAGACTGACTCTGGAGGATGCTGACTTTTTGGATTCCACACACACATGTAAACGTGTAGGCTGTAGGCTTGTCTCACAGGTATGGCTCCTTATTCTTTTTCACCAGGCACCTGTTTTGCTTAGTATGTTGATAGCAGTTTCTAAAATATGGCTGAGTACTGTTGTTAACTCCTATGAATTGAGATCCTCATTGACTCCTGGAGAGGACTGAAAATATGGGTTTGTAAATATTCTCTAAATTTGGGCGGCTCTTAGCATAGCCTATTATATAAAAATAATTTAGTAGTTCCTGTGACATGGCAGCTTGAAATAAAAGGCCTTTTGATTCACTTGCAGAGCAAGTGGCAAGAAATAAGGAAAGCAAAACAACTTTGCACAACTTAGAAGAAAAATATGCACCATACTTAGAAAAGTAGGAAGATATATGTAAAAGAGGGTGAGAAAAGACACTAGAAAAGGAAAGTACTAAAATTATTTGCTTATTTAAAATTTTACTTTATTTACAAATGTATGAATGTATGTATGCATGCATGTATGATGTATGTATACATGGCTGGGCTCATGCCATGGTGTAGTGTGGCAGTTAGGGGACAAATCGCAGGAGTCTGTTCTGGCCTTCCACCATTCTGGTTTTGGGGTTTGACAGGCATAACATTTTTTATTTTAAATTTTAGTTCCCTTACATCCCTCTCTCCTGATTTCTGTCTTTTAGACATAGCCAGTTTTTTCTTTTTTTATCTTTTTTTTGTGTGTGTGTGTGACAGGATTTTGATTGCTCTGTAGACCAGGCTGGCTTTGAACTCACAGACATCTGCCTGCCTCTACCTCGTAAGTGCTGGGACTAAAGGCATGCACCACCATCACCCTGCTTTCTTTAAATTTGTAAGTCTACAAATTATACTTGCTCCATTTGTTTCTGCAATATTAAGCACACTGCTTGATGCTTATCTGAGAATTGATATTGTTTTCTAAGTTTTAAATGAATTGGGGCATAAGTTAAGAAGGCAGACTCTTAATCATATCTCTCACAAGACTGAGGAAGTCAGGATTCAGAGTTCTGTTTTTAATCCTTTTCTGATTGGATGCCTCTCTGATTTACTGAAATTTTCCAATTAAGTTCTGCCAATTTTCAGTCTTCTCACAGAAATAATTCCGTTGCCTAGATCACCCTGTGGCGCCATCTTCCGGGGTCTACAGCACGCTCTGTATTTTTTTTTTTCCGAGGCAGGATTTCTCTGTGTAACTTCGGAGTCTATCTTGGCACTCGCTCTGTAGATCAGAGCTGGTCCCGAACTCACAGAGATCTGCTTGCCTCTGCCTCCCGATTGCTGGGATTACAGTCGTGGGCCACCGACGCCCAGCCCTCTAGATTTAAAACCGTAGGGTCCCTCTTAGTTCTGGAAGTCCCTCCCAGAGTTTTGGGAGGCTCCTTGGACGCATGCGCAGCCTAGTTTGGGAGAAACTACAATTCCCAGAAAGCAATGCCACCGGGGGGGGGAGCAGTCCCCTTGTTATAGGGGAAATGATTCTCGCGAGAAAGTGAGGCTCTGGCGGCTGTGCGTCTCGGGTGGAGGGGGGGCGGGGAGAGTAAGGAGGAAGAGGAGGAGGTGCAGTCCCACAATACCCGGCGGAGGGCGGGTGGGTGGTTAGTGTCTGGGCTGTGCGGCGCTCCGGTCCCCGGCGGACCCAGCTGCCTCTGTTTCTTTAACGCGAGAGGAAGCGATGTGGAGGGGTGAAAAATGGCAGAGCTGCAGATGTTACTAGAGGAGGAGATCCCGTCTGGCAAGAGGGCGCTGATAGAAAGTTACCAGAACCTGACCCGGGTGGCAGACTACTGTGAAAACAACTACATACAGGTGAGGAGCGGGGGCGGCCGGCGGGGGCGGCCGGGGCGACGAGCAGGCTGGGCGCGGTGGGAGCTGCCCTACTCAGCCACCCTCCGCCCCGGCCCGAGCGGCCGCCGCGATACAGGAAGTGGCCGCCGCGAGAAAATGGGCGAGGAGCAGGGCCGCCGCGGGCGCCGCCGGCTCCGACGCCGCTCCCAGTGTGCCCACAGCCGGCTGTGCTCCCGGTAGCCTGTCCCGCGCCGGCCGGTGTGTGCTCCCGGCAGCCTGCCCGGGTCCGGCTGTGCTTAGCCTGCCGGGACCGCCGGTCCCCAAAGCCTGCCCCGGTCGAGCTCCCCACCGCCTGCCCTGACTGGGGTTTGCGCCTACACCCCGCAGCTTCCCCTGCCCGGGCTCTGCTCCCGGCAGCTTCCTCTGCCCGGGCTCTTTTCTGCAGCCTCCCCTAGCCGTGTCGTGCTCCCCACAACCTCTCCTAGCTGATTCGTGCGCCCCGCGGCCTTTCCTCCTGTTCGGATCGTGCTCCCTGCAGCCTTCCCTGCCCGGGATCTGCTCTCCGCAGTCTCGTCTTGGCCGGTCTCTACTCCGCGCTGCCTCTTTGGGCCAATGTCCGCCCCTAAGACCCCTCAGTCTTCCCTGGCCGGGGTCGGCCGTGAGACCCCCCTTTTCCCCGTCCGAGGTCTTCCTGGAGATCCCGCGTTCTCCCTTGGTCGCCGTGGTCCCCCACCCCTCGCTGTCGCCCCTCTGCGGAATATGATGAGTGTAGAATCCAGACAGCTGCGAGAGGAATGGCCAGGGAAGAGGCGCTGGGAAAGGAAAAGCGGGATGTGTGTCGTTGGAGGGTGGGGTGGGGGTGATTATGTCAGTTCATCCTATAGGGTGTGCCTTTTATTTATTTAAAAAAATATCTCGAGTCACATTTACACAAACCTCCCAATCAGGTGCAGGGAGTGAGTACTGAAGGTTTGATAGAATTCATCTTAAGAATCTTTTAATTGAAGGTTTGGAAATCCGCGTGCTTGGCGGTTTTCAAGTCGGGTTTTTCCTCCTCATCATATTTACTTCCGCTTTAGGATAATGTATACTCGTTATTATAAAGCACGAATGATTCATAGGGGGAATTCATTGGGAAAAGTCTTAAATACTTATCTTCCTCCAAATGTTCATGGATTTTTGGATTGACAGTAGTGTCGTGTCGTGGTGGTTGCTTATTTTCTGAGATTTCTTTCTAACTGGAGTCAATGTATAGAAGAATATGAATAAAATAGATTGGCAAACCTTAGTCTTTAAATCGAAAGTATAAAATTACTAATTTATCAGGAAGTTCTTGGCATTTTGACTATGACAGATGCTTGCTTGTGTTTATTGGTGATTGTAAGTGAATAGTATGCAGTAGTTTGGCTCGTAGTCTCATGGTTGTGTGTGCTTTTCACGTGATTATCATTTTCAAGAGCCAGTAGTTTCTGTGCTAGCAGATTCTTCAGGTTTATTTCCAGAGGGAGATACTGTTTTGAGACTTGTTTGAATATTTGTCAGTTCCCATATTAGTAATACTTAATCTGGAGCAGTACTCCAAGGAATTTGTCTTCATACTGGCTTTTCCAACCTCTGGCTTTGGTAATCTGCCGATAAACTTGTTGAATGCTTGCTATGCCTACTGTATTACTTGTTTTTGAAAACTATATAGCTGATTAAAAACACATTTTAAGGGGCTGAAGGAAAGGCTCAGTGGTTAAGAGCCGTTGTTGCTTTTGCTGAGGACCTGGGTTCAATTCCCAGCATCCTCATTGTGGTTCACAGCCATCCTTACCTGGAGTTTCTGGAGATCCATGCCCTCTTCTGACCTCTGGGGGCACCAAACACATACCCAGTATACATACATACAAGCAGGCAAAACACTGGGAAATAAAATGAGTAAGTCTAATAAATACATTTAAGCATGTTTAAAAATCTTTTTTCCCTCCTCGAGACAGGGTTTTTCTGTGTAACAGCTCTGATTGTCCTGGAACTCTCTCTGTAGACCAGGCTGGCCTCGAGCTCACAGAGATCAGCCTGCCTCTGCCTGCCGAGTGCTGGGGTGAAAGGCATGCGCCACCATCCACCTGGCTCTTAAAATCTTACAGAAATGTGGGTATAGTGTAAGAATAGAAAAGTGATCTTGTATTTTATAAATACTAAAAAATGTATAGCTTTTACTTATTTTAGTATGAAAAGCCTGGAAATTGCTGCCTTTTTGGTTCCTTTCGCTTGTATCAGGCAGCATACCACAGCCTGTTCCAGGGACCACCCAACACCCTCTTGTGGAGCACGTGGGACCTGCCCTTGTAAGTGTATAGGCACACCCACAATTAAAACACAGTTAAGCACAGCCCACTTTAATTGGTAATAGCCCTGATTAGATTAAGAAACTATGTTATTTCTTTTTGTTTGCTTTGTGTGTGTTTGGTTTGTTCTCAGACACAACCTATTCTAACCCAGGCTGGTGGAACTCTTGGTCCTCCTGTTTAGCCTCCAGGTGCTAAGATTAGCCAGTGGTGAACAACAAAAACATTGTTTTTGAGGGGACAGGGTTTTATCATGCAACCATGACTGGTCTGGAGCTTGTTATGTAGACCATGCTGGACAACAGAGATCCCCCTCCTCTGTCTCATCTCCTAGGATTAAACATGTACCATCATGCCTGGTGAGGAAAATTATCATACCTACTGTGAGACATTAATTGCTGTGTGTTTTATCATGATAATTATTTTGCTATTTTCTTAATCTTGAGAACTCAGGCCTGTTCAGCTGAGAAGTTGTTTGGGCGAGTCCTTGGAGTGGTTTGTGCCCTGCTGAGTTTAGTTCTTAATTGAGTCATTTAAAGCCAAATTTATTAAGAGATTTTTTAAAGCTGTGTTAAAAAGGATGAAGTTTAAAAGTTATGAGGAGGGGCTGGAGAAATGGCTCAGCAGTCAAGAGTACATACTGCTCTAACAGAACCAGACCAGAGTTCAGGTCTCAGCACCCACATGCAGCTCAAAATGCCTGTAACTACAGCTTCAAGGAATCTCATGCCCTCTTCTGGCATCTGTGGGCACATGTTTACATATATATGCACACAGAGATCTTTTTAAAAATGTTATAGGGAGGCTGGGCGTGGTGCACACCTTTAATCCCAGCACTTGGGAGGCCGGGCGAGGTGGATTTCAATGAGCTTGAGGCTGGCCTGGTCTGCAGAGTGGAGTTCCAGGACAGTCAGGACTGTTACACAGAAATCCTGTCTCGAAAAACCAAAACCATCCAAGCAAACAATATTAAAATTATAAGACATTTTTATGTTGGTATTTAGAAAAGCCTTTGCTGTTTCTCCTTTTTTTTTTTTTTTCTGGTAGATTAACTCAAGGACCATTGATCCTTGAGCCCAGCCAGTTACTTTACAGTTGTTACTGTCTTACTGCAGGGCCTATCTTGGGGAAGTAGGAAGGAAAGAAAGCTAAGTGAACAGTAGAAAGTAAAGGAAAGTTACTTGGCATGAAAGATCGTGCTGGCTCAGATAAGGATAGAAGGCTCTTTGAGAAGTTAGGGTTATGGTACTTCAGACTTTGGGTATGTAAACAGTGCCATCTACACGTTTATCATTTCCAGGAGCCAATAGTTTCTGTGCTAGTACTCCAAGAAATTTGTTCTCATATTTTCTTTTCCATCCTCTACCTTTGGTGATCCTAGTTTTTCTGGCTGAAATTGATCTGGATTGGCAAATTTTAAAATTATTTTTACTTTAAATTATGAGTGTGTTTCTTGTTTTGCATGTGTGTTTGTGCACGTGTGTCACCAGAAGCCCCTGCAATTATATTTTAATTCTTAGTCTGACATACTAGTGTGAAATAGCTTAACCTCAGCTCCTATAACATTTGCTTCCTTATGTACATGAATCTTGGAAAGGAGGTAACATTTTGACACAGAAACAATTTGAGGTTGGTAGAAGCTTGACCGTTTTGGTATTGTACAGTTTGTTTGTTTATAAGAGGTGCTAATTGTTAAAAGTGCTATTCTTGCCTTTAAGCTTTTTATTTGAAATGGGGAAGTTGGTAAATACCTGTAACCCAACACTCAGGAGGCTATGGCAGGAGGATCATAATTTTCATATAAGAAGTTTGAGACCAACCTACCTAGCCTTCATAGCAAGACTTCACTTAAAAAAAAAAAACCTAAAGAAACTTAAAAAAAAAGTAGTGTCTTGAAAAACAGTTTCATTATGTTGACCTAGGAGACTGGCCTCAAACTTCTGGGCCCAAGCCCTATAGCCATAGCACGTGCGTGCGTGCGTGCATGCCGCCTGCCTGTCTAGCCACCGCCCCTTGCATTCTTCTCCCCTCTGCCTCTTCTTTTCCTCCTCTTTGTTGTATTCCTTTCCTTCCTCTTCTTTCTCTTGCTCTGTCTCCTCTTCCTGGACCACAGACAAACCATCTAGGTTCAGAGACATTAAATATCTAATGTAAATAAAGTTCAGTAGTTAGTAATAATTGCTGGAATAAACACTAAATCTTCAGATTCCAGTACTAAATTTCTTTAAAACCTGACCTGGTTACTTTCTGCAAAAAGTTGCCTTAAAAAGGATGTGTGCCAGGTGGAGGTAGTGCATGCCCTTTTGATCCCAGTACTTGGGAGGCAGAGGCAGGTGGATCTCTGTTAGTTTGAGGCCAACCTGGTCTACAAATCGAGTTTCAGAAAGATAGGATTGTTACACAGAGAAACTGTGTCTTGAAAAACAACAACAGCAACAAAACCCCCCAAAAATGTGTGAGGAAAATAATTAGAGATAGTAATAAAGGGTAGTATTTGTGTCCTTTATTGAATTTGGATGCTCAACTCTCTTATCTAGTTTGGCATAGAATTTACATCAAACCTACAGATATACTTCTGTATGTATTAGGTCTTCTCATCTCTAGATTACTTAAAAACTGAGTACAGTCTCTAAGTTCTGTGAAAATATTTTTTAAAACATTACATTTATTGTGTGTGTGTACATATGTGCC